TCTCCTCTGTCCTACGCTTGACTTCGCTAGCTCTTCCCCCCCTTCCCCTCTCTCCTTCCTCTGCTCCTCTCCTCCATTTCCCTCCTGCCTCTGCTCCTCTTCCCTCCTCCAAGTCTTACCATGTTCTCTCCTCCAGCGCTCTCAGCCTCTCCAAGACCTTCAAGCTCAATCGCACGCATATGCGGCAGGAGCAGATCGAGGAGGCAAGTCCAGTTACTTCCTCCTCCTCTCCTCTCCTCTCCTCCTCCTCCACCACCAACACCTTCTCCTTCTGTACTCTCTGCTCTTCCCCCCCCCCTCCTCCTCCACGTTCTCTCTCCTCTCCCCCTCCACCATCCCTTCTGACATCTCGCAGGATGCCTTCCTCAAGCCCGACGCCAACATCCTCAGCGATCTGCATGCTCTTCACGAGTCGATGAAGTACGCGTGAGAGGAGGCAATGCCGCCCGTTCTACCTCCCTCCAAGGACCCCCCTCCGCTGCTCCCTCCTTCCCCTCCGACAGGGATCTTTCTCTCCTCCCCTCCTCCTTCCTCATCTCAACGACTACATTAGCTAAGTTTATATGGTACAAGACGCCTCATCCCTTCATCGTGAACGCGTTCTGCAGCAGGTGCTTGGTGGGAAACTCGATGTTGTTCATCAGCCTTGACTCCACTGCCGTCCTCCTGAAACTTTTCTGCTGGTGCTGCTCCTCCTCGTTCCTCAGCTCCACATGCACCACCTGCGTCTCTCCCGTCAGGACCCTTTTCCTCTGCCTCTGCCACCTCCCTCCTGCCTCTCTCCCTCCTCCTCCTCCTCCCTCCCTCCCTCCCTCCCTCCTTTTCCCTCCTCCCACCTGCAAGGTCTGCCGAATCGTCTGGTCCATGAACTTTCCAGCAGCGGACAGGCGGCGGAACAGCGTCAGCATCTTCTCCGCCTCCTCCCTGAACGAGTGCGACCCCAGCCTGACGATCTTGATCGCCGGCAGCTCCTCCGATATCACGACCATGATCTGCCCCACGACCTCGTTCCACGACCACAGCGACTGCAGTAGGTGCTCGGCCCTCCCCCTCAGCTCTTCCATCATGCTCCCAGCGTGCAGCTCCTTGAACACCAGACTCTGAGAGAAGTCGATGTTCCCGGCCTCTGCCGCCGCGCTCAGCCTCCCCTCGGCAAGCAGGTTCAGGACCGTATCCTTCACCGCGCTGATGCTCTCTATCACCTCCTTGAGGTCCTGCTCCACCTGCTCCGATGCTGCCGAGATCATACTGATCTGGTTCGGGATCAGCTTCCCACACCTCCCTCGCACCCACACATCCGCCTTGCTCTCCTCGCTGTTGTTCAGCTGCTCCTGCACCGTCGGCATGCGCTCGGCCTTCTGCAGAGCATCCACCTCCCTCCTCTGCACATCCTGCATCTCGATCAACTGCGGGTTGTCCTTCCTTAGCCCGAACGCCGCCTCCAGCATCGCCACCGCCACTTTCTGGTCATGGCGGTACGCATCCTCGAGTGGCGTTCCTCCCAGCCGATCGACCGGGTTGATGTTGATCGGCCGCTTCAGGTGCCGCAGGAGGTAGTCGAGCACAGTCGTCTCCCCGTTGGACGCCGCCAGGTGCAGAGCCGTCCTCCTATCCGCGTCTGCCGCGTCCGGGTTTGCGCTGTTCCTGATCAGAGCTCGCAGCTGCGAAACGTCACCCTTGGCTGCTGCAGTGCACAGCTCCACAGCGATGTCCATGCCCAGCAGCTGCCCACCAGCCTCCCTCAGCATGTCCTGGATGTTCGTATGGCAGTGGACGAGCGCGTCGCACAGCGGCGTCCTCCCCAGCCGATCTCGGCAGTTGACGTCGGCAGACTTGCTCAGCAGGTACTTCACCACGTCCTCGTGCCCCTCGCATGCAGCCAGGTGCAGCGCCGTCCTCAGGTCGTAGTTTGACTCGTTGACGTTGATCCCGTTGGAGATCAGCCGCTCGATGTCCGCCAGCTTCCCGTGGAAAGCATGACTGCACAGCAATACTCCTGCCTCCTTGCCCGGGAAGTTGAGCGCCTGGTTCTGCGAGCGGAGGATGGCAGCGACGTGGTCTTGACCATGTCGAACGGCATCGTTGAGGGGAGTGTTCCCGTACTTGTCCCGCAAAGACACACTCGCCGAGTTGGTGATGAGCAGCTTCACAGCGTCGAGTTTCCCCTCGCAGGCTGCAACGTGCAGTGCAGTCCTGCCGTTTGAGTCCGTCTCGTCCACGTTAAGCCCGATCCTGAGGAACCTCAGCATCTTCTCCAGTTCCCCTCTCGATGATGCTCCGCAGAACGCAGCCACGTGCTCCGTCTTCCTCCTCTGGTTCAGGAACGCGACCTTCTGCTCGATGTTGGACAGGATGATCGCATCGTAATTGTTGTCCTCCTGCACCGACTGCCTGTACTCCGTCGTCAAACTCTTCTCGTCCGCTTCGTCCGCAGATTTCGCTTCATCCTCAAGTGCGCTGAACGCCGAAGGCGCCGCGAAGCTCGCTATGCTCTTCCCATGTCTGCTCGTCCCCGCCGCGCTCCTCGCATGCTTCGTCAGCTGGAACTGCCGCAGTGCATTCTGAGCCACCAGCTCCTCGTCGTCTGGGTACGCCTCCAGGATCGGCATGAGCTGCGATCGGACGAGGCGGAGGCAGACGGCGCCTTGCCCGCTGCTCGCGCGAGCCGCATGAATATGGCGCATGCCGAAGAAGAAGCTCAAGTCTCCGACCGACTCCCCGGGCCCGATGTTCTTGTCCAGCACCGAGAAGCCGTCGTTGTCCTGCACCAGCTGGTCTACAGCCCCGGCGATCACGAAGAACATCTCGTGGGCAACCATGTTCGACTGGTACAGGAACTCGTCCGAGGCGAAGTGCATCTCTCTCAGGAGCCCCTGGATGTTTGCCTTCAGCTGGGGACTGCAGGAGCGGAACAGCGCGACGTTGTCAAGGCACTCGCGCGTCATGGTGGAGGACATCTCGAGCCTCAGGGAGTGCGAGACCGAGTCGAAGATCTCAGAAGCGCTGATGAAGTTACTCCCTCCTGACGTCCCCTGGAAGTAGCGGCGGATCTCAAGCTTCAGGTCGCTCGGCAGGTCGAAGCCCTGCAAGTAGCTCTCCACCGCCCCCAGCTCCTCCCTTGCCTTGAGCAGGCGCTCGTCTCCCTTCAGCACACCAGCAGAGATCTCTCCGATCACGTAGTTGAACACGGTCAGGTTGATGCAGAGGAGGAAGAGGGCGTAGAAGATCTCGCCGTTGTTCTGCGGCAACATGTCTCCGATCACTCCTGTCGCTGACACGGTGCTCGAGATCCAGTAGAGGGAGAGAAGATAACGATCCCACGTCCCGGAGCTGTTGGACAAGTACATCCCGTACATGCTGTAGTCGTAGTTCCCCGACACCGCCGCTCCTCCTCCTCCTCGACGCGCTTGCCCTGCGGGCAGGTACCTGCGAGCACGCGCGAGTCAGCAGATTCCCTCATGCAGGGCGATGCTGTCTCACCAGGTGGGCTCGGAGCTGCTCATACCGAACCCTCTCCTCCCCAGGAAGTACCAGAAGCAGCTGGTGATATGCAGGATGGCGAGGATGACGAAGGCTAGCTTGATGTTCTGGTGCAGCATCATCCAGTTGAAGAACCCGACCTTGGACTCCTTGACCACACTGAGGAAGTAGAGCATCTTGGGCATGCGGAACCAGCTACTGAGCTCCATCGAGGCCCCGCTCACCCACCCGAACCAGTCGAAGGGGGCAGCGCACGTCATGTCCAGCCAGAAGTCATGGCCGAGGTAGTGCCGCATGATCTTCCTCCGCTCCGAGACCCAGCGGGACCTGTCGGGGAGGGGGAGAGAGGACCGTCAGGGCAAGCATGGGCAGGGCAATGTCAAGGGCTCACTGTTTGTTCATGTAGGCGATGTTGAACGACACCAGCACGTTGGCGAACACCAGCCCGTCCAGGACCAGCTCGGAGGAGAGGAACGAGGAGTTGGTGAGCTTGTCGTAGGGGAGGAAAGCGATCTGGGCAGGGACGTAGAGAAAGTAGGCAATGGCGCATATCTGCTGGATGGTCCTCCAGATACGCATCTGGGTGGAGTAAGGGTTGAAGGCCGAGCCGAAGCCTGCCATGAAGAACTTTTCCTTCCCGATGTTGGACGCCCGCTTCTCTCGCAGAGTGCGCTCGATGTCTGGGTAGGAGACCGAAATTCCCTTGACACCATCAGGAGAAAACAGCTGGAGGGAACGTGAGCTCCCTCGCATGCGGCACATCAACGGGTGTCACCTCCATGAACTCGTCGACGTGATAGTCGGCGATGTTGTCTTGGAGGTCCAGGAGCAAGAGTTGCAAGAACGACGTGACCTGCGTCACACAATCACACACGGCAAGTTCACAGCTGCGATTCACAACACCTGCTCTCGCTTCATGTGCTTGGTGGCATCTCCAACGATGGAGCAGAACGTGGGCTCGTATGCGGAGTTGAGCTCTTCGCTGAGGAGCATGGGGACGATGGAGGGATGAGTGAGGTGGAAGATCTTCTGCCGCGCCCATGCAAGCAGTTGCTCGTGCACCGGCAGCTCTTCCACAATGGGATGGACCTGGTGGATCTCGCTCTGAAAGCTCTCCAGCTGCCGCTTGCTGTCCGTCAGCATGCTCGCCGACTCCTCTGGTTCTTTCTCGCTCTTCGAGCTGATGCGGAACGATGCGGCGGCTCCTCCCTTGATCGGGTTCAGCCCGCCATGCGCATCGGAGTCGTCGATGTACTTGATCCAGCGGGAGAACCAGTCGGAGAGGGTCATGGTACTCTGGCAGAAGCTGTGGTTGAAGGCCGTCGCAAAGAAATTCTGCCCGACCTGCAAACTTGGAGTGAGCGCTAAGACAAGCATCCAGGTAATCAGACAGGTCGAGGGTAGCACAAGACAGGTAGATGGAAGGGTGGTTGAGGTGGAGGGAGGGTGGTGGACAGGGTGAGACTGGGAGTGATAGGTGGGTGTGCCAACCTCGCCGAGGAACTCCTTGATGCTCGCAACTTCATCGTACTCGATCGTTGGCAACCCGGCGGAAAAAAGTTCCCATGCTGCCTCGATCACCTGTACCCCGCTCTCTATGATCTTCCTCGTGTCATCGGGCGCGATTATCCTCTGCCGGCTCCGCTTGCTCGTCCGTGCGATCCCTCGCCATACAGAGAGGCACAGGACGAGGGACGTGCTCAGGTCGAGGCGAGACTTGTCGAAGTGGTTGTGGATGGTATCCATCAGACCTCTCACTGTCATCTCTTCGCCCTGAGGCTGACTCGAATCTCGAGGCATCAGGAGCGAGGCCTGCTCTGCGTTCTCCGCCTGCTGTGCCTGGATCGAGTCTTTCAAGATCTCCTTCTCGAACTTGTCAAAGTCCGAGTCACGCGTCAGCGCATGAGCGAACGGCACGACCATCTGCGTCTTCGCCTGCACAAACGTCATCGTTAGCTATGGAGAGAGCCCAGCAACCAGCACGCCCCCACCTGCAGGATGATCGACAGGTCGGACTTTGACACCTCGTACAACTCCACTTTAGTGACCGCGCGCATCATCAGGAGCGGAGCGAATCCTGTGAGCAGGAAGACTTCCCCGAAGATGGTGTTGGGCCCGTACTCCAGCCTCACACAGATATCCTTCCCATCGTTGTGGAGCATCGTTCGAATCCGTCCCTTGATCACGAAGTACATGCAGGGCTCCTTGCAGCGGTACTTTCCTCCCTCTTCCAGCGTCACGTTCTTGCAGCGCCATGCGAGGAACTGAAGGTCGGAGAAGGACAGGACGCTGAGGACGCTCGACTTGACAAGAGTGGAGAGACGGGCCGAGTGCTCGTCCGAGTTGCGACACAGCAGCTCCCTGAACTTGCTGGAGCGGCACAGGAGGGTCTCAGGTGTCACGGCCGGGTGAGGGAGTCTGAGAGTATCCTCATCCTTGAAGTGCCGGACTTCCGCAAGCAGCTCGCGAAGGTCAGCAGGAGTAGCATCCAGCCGCATCATCTCCAACACCTTCACGATCTTGTCCATCGTGACGTAGAGCCCATCGGCATATCCCGACCCAGCGTTGGTCGTGACTGCAGCCTTCTCTCCCACCGATGCGAAGATGTTGGAGAGCTCGCTCCACGCGTCCTCAACCCGGTTGAGGTTCATCAGGCACTTGTTGAACTCCTTTGCCAACCCGATCCTGCCGTACCTGCTGTCTCTTCCTCTCTTCTCCATCGAGGCGACGATACGATCCAGCTCTTCGTAGAGTGCGAGAGCTTCGGTGTCGACGACGTTCTGGATGTACTGTGTGGTATCAATGTCATTCTCCAGCTTGTTGAAGAACTCCTTGGCTGTGACTTCAGCTCCCTCCTTCTTCATCTCTATCACAGCTGCCACCTCCTGCTGCAGCCCTTCCATCTTGCAGCTGTTGATGCCATCAGCAACCTGCGCACAGAGGATGATGCAGTTCTTCAGGGACTCATAGAGCTGTTGCTGGGGTTTGATCGCTTCGTCAAACAGGTCAGACACTGCTTGAACAGAGCTCTGATCTCATTCGCCAGGCCAATCATGGACAGTGTGGTCTCTCTCGCGATCAGAAACTCCTGCATGGTCGGCCTCTTCGGCTTCATGTTGTCGAGGCCCTGCGAGATGAGGTTCTTGATCACCTTACGCACTTCCTCCATGTCCAGCTCGTCTATCTGCTTGATCGCTTCTCTTCCTTCCTCCGTGTCTGCGTAGATCCCAATTTTCCCCCCCATCGACTTGATCAGCTTGGCGCACATCAGATGCCTGATGGTTCCTCCCTTGATGCAATCGTCCAGAGGCGTACAGCCCCACCTGTCCATCCTGTTGGGGTTCGCACTTGCGCCCAGCAGGTAAGAGACAGCAAGTATCCTCCCTTTGAGAGCCGCCAAGTGCAGAGGACAGCGATTGTCATAGTTCCCGGTATCTGCAAGACCATAACGTTACAGACTGTAACCCCCACCTCAACATAGGACTAAGACGTTCAGAAGGAAGCGGAACCAACCTGGATCGATGCCACAGCGCCGGAGCAGCCGCAAGTGACGCACGTCTCCTTCCGAAGCAGCTTCGCAGGCCTCCAACGGACCAGACCCTTCCTTCATCAGTCCGTCCTTGGCCCGAATCTCTTCGGCAACCTGCACGTGGCCTGCTGCTACAGCGGCTTGAAGTGGCGTGAACTTCCACCTGCGTCAAACACGATCAGGGTCAGAGTTATCCCGACAGCCTCCCTTCCCACCTGTCCACCACGTTAACGTTGCTTCCTTTGGCTATCAGGTATTCAACGATCTTGTCGTATCCCTCTGAGGCTGCAACATGAAGGGGGGTGCGCATGTCGCAATCGCTAACGTTGGGATCGACCCCATGCTCTAGCCACAACTTCAGAGTCTCCAGGTCACCTTGACTGGCAGCCGTGCACAGGCGCGAGGATGCGTTCTCAGTGTTCAGAGTTGACTTCCACTGCACAAGGAGCTGTACCACAGGCCCTTGGTTCGCGTTCACAGCATCCTGCAGGGGAGTGTTGCCCCATCGGTCCTTCTGGTTCTTGTCTGCTCCCTCCTCCAGCAGCAACTCGACCACCCTGTAGTTGCCTTCTGCCGCAGCCATGTGCATGATAGTCTTGCCATCATAGTTGCAGGCGTTGATTCCGACTCCCTTCCGCAGCATCCTCCTCACCTCCTCTAGATCTCCCGCTGTCGCTGCGTAGCTGAGGGACAGGAAAGACTCTTCTCGCCTTCTCTTGACAGTATCTTTGATGAGATTGCGCAGGAAGATGGCATCCGCGTCTTCCTCCCGATCATCTGCATTTGAATCGACATCAGCAAGGTCGTTGCCATCCTTGTCAAGATTGAAGGATTGAAGGATGTTGTTGCTGATGATCTCATGTTGCTCAGGGTAGTTCTTGAAGAGCTCCTCTGCAGATTCCTTGCTGAGCACCAGAAGCTCAATGTCAGTGTCGTACGGTGCTCTGACTGAGTACTGCTGTTGGACACCAAGGAAAAATGAAACTTCACCGATCACTGAAGGATCTTCTACATCAGACCTCACGATTCGTTTGACAGAGTCCTCCTCGACCACCTCGGCATGGCCATCCATGACAAACGACAGCTCGAGGACCATTTCCGACGCTCGGATGAACTGATCGCCGGGCATGAAGAACACAGGCCTGAGGAGGGTGACCAGAGCGTTGAGAAACTGAGAGTTGCACTTGTAAAAGATCCCTCCAGGCTTGCAGCATTTCTCTACCGTAGGCCGGAACCTGGAATTCGCCACCTTCACCTCCAACGACCTCGGCAGTTTCAATGCAGCCGAAGATTTGCGCTGTACACTCTTCTTGTACTGGAACTCAAAGTGCTGTATGAGCTTCTTCCTAACGGCAGGGGCGAGCCTTCTTGCTTCCGCGAAGGCCATCACGTCTGTCATCCTCTTCTTGTGCGCCTCTGTCAACGGATCCTTTTGCGAGACAAGCAGGTAATGGAAGAGACTACCGAGGATGTACGCAGAAATGAAGATAGAATTGTACATGACCATGACTCCTAGAATCATCTCCAGCGCGTTGTTTGGCACGATTGCAATGTAGCCGATCGAAGACAAGCCGTCAAATCCCTTGTAAAGGCATAAGATGTACTTCTGGGCAATCGTGCTGTTGTATATGTCGACCTGAGGTACGAAAGCTGACACCTGATCTAGCCATGTCGTACCGGAAGAGCTCTGCACTCGTGCTACCCAGAAATAGAGAGAGCCAATCCAATGGCTGGACATTATGATCACAAGAGCGAACTTGATCAGTTGCAGTCTACTGACAGACACTTGAAGGTTCATCTCCATCGATCTGAAATACCGAAACAACCTCAGGGCCCGCGGTATGAACCGTGGAAACATGATTATCCACCATACTACTAGCGACACAGATTCTTTGGAAAAGACGAGGAAGAACACGCTCGGCAGGAGCTCGAAGGGGAAAATGTGAAAGAAATATCGCCTTGCTATCTGCATTCTGTCGCGAATCAAAATCATCTGATCACTGTCTGCCGCCGCACCTTGCTTTGAAGTGTGCTGTAACGCTGTATTCAAGAACCGCAACCCATCGAGCACGAACATGAGATCACAAGTAAAATCTAGCAGAAACAGCCAACTGCCGTACTCTGGGCTACCCAAAGCTAGTCGAAATCCGGCTGCCCAAAATTCGTAAGCAAGTGGGACCACAAAGAGATAGAGCCATCGTGCCGTCCAAGTACCATTCGGATCGAACAGGTCAAGTTTGAATCCCAAGGTCTGCTCTTTTGGCAGGTAAAACCTCACTCTCTGCTTCTTGAGGCTCAACCCTGAGCTAGCTAAGCGTTTTGCTTCATTCTTTAGACATGGCCTCAGATGAATCTTAGTCTTCTTGACTCGCACCCAGGAATCTGTATGATTAATGGTCGAGGGAGTACGTTCAAACAGGGTTCCTATGGTAACGCTCCTCCTCCTCTCAACCACGTTTCTCTTCTCCAAGAGCTTAGCCTGCTTTGCAAGCTTCTTGTCTAGCACATGTTCCTCGAAGCTCCTCTTATGCGTGCTTGCCGTTCGCTCAAGACTGCCTGTTTTCGCAGCAGCTGCCCCGCTTGCAAGCCTTTCAAACAGAGCATCGGTAGTGACGTTGGTTTTACCCTCAGTCTGCTCCTGCAGTTGGGAAAAATCGTGCACCTGGTTGTCTTTGAATTTGATTTTGAGCTGCGGCATGGTTGTCGCCTCTCAGTGCAGCACTGAAAAGTTATCAAAACCAGCCAAGCTCAATCCAGAGACCAATCGGCACGAGAAGTAAAGCCATAAGAAATCAGAAAAAGGACGGATCTTTCATCCAAATCATGGTAGACTTTCTTAGATGACGATATGAAGAGCCTTTGTGAGAGCCTCCTGAATATACTCACACGTCCAGTCTTTCCTTCATGTGTTTGAGAATTCAAAGGAACCTTCTTATAGGTTTCCAATATAGCCACCCTTCCCCTCTTTCATACCCTCTTGTTTCGATTTCTCTCCCCCCACCCCTGATCTGTCTCCCTTTGTTCCATCTTCCTCCTCCCCTCTCCTCCTCGTCTCGCCAGTCTTCTTCCTACCCCGCGCTCACAGCCCAAGTGCATCAAAAGGAAAATGCCATGGTCTTCAACGCCTTGCCCTCATCCCCGCACAACTTTGTAACTCAGGTCATAGGACCATAGGACCGACTTCTAGGAAACGAAGGTTGCAGTACGTATTTGGGTACCTAGTGTCCTATGGAGGATACCATATCTTGGTGGGCAAGAAAATAGTATTTGGCGGGGGTAGTACCCGTACTGATTACTAACTACGGCTATGGAAGAAACTGGTAGGGATAGTCAGGTACTAATGAGGTTCCTAGGGGGTAGAGCACCTCGGTCCTAGCGACATGGACCCCCCACCCTGGTGAGTGTTTTAACTTTCTTGCTGACATCACCCCTTGAATCAATCCTAAACCACCCCCCATTTCCATTCTTGTACCCACCAGGACCACATATCCACCCCCTCCAAGTGACCAGACTACCACCCACAGCCCAAATCTCCCATCATCTGGGTACCCTACCCCCTTTTCAGACCTTGTTTTCCTAGTACATAGTACCCCCTCCTGGGAGCCTCACTAATCAGGTGTACCCACCCCATCGAATCATCCACTTACACCAGGGACTGTTGGGTAAAGACGTAGAGATGCCTTCTGGCTCCACAACTGCAGTCAAAGGGTGGGGTAGTAGAATGAAAACTGGGTGGTGGGGTCGGGGTATCCGAAGGATACCTTCCTCTGATAACTAAATACTTTAGCCAATGACGAACAGTCAATCGGGCCCGGCCGGCGTCGGCGGCTGGGTCCGGATGTACTGAGGGGGGGTTTGACTCTAGTTGAGTAAAACGTGCTGGATTCCCGCCAAATGGGCCCATGAAGCTCAGCGCCTGGGAGGGGAGGGGAGGGGAGAGGGGGGAGGGGAGAGGGTGAAGGAGAGGAGGAGGGAGAGGGAGGGAGGAGAGACAAGGACATGGAGGAGGTGCAGGTGGATGTCGAGGTGCACATTCGTGATTGGAGCACCACTCGAGTGAAATCAAAGAGGTTACGAATCTGACATACCTTCCTTTGCTAGTTGTTCTGGTCTATGCTTTGAACAGCCGTTTAGCGTACTCGGTCCTGAAAGTGGCAGGCTGGAAGCTCTTGCAAGAGCAGTTCTTCAAAACTCGCTGTGTGCAACATTCCATCCAGCCATGGTGATGAACAGAACCAACAGGGGCTCACTCTCAAGCAACAAGGACCGAAATGATGTGCTCATTGTTGGAAATGACAACCGAGGATACGGTTTTATTGTTGCTAGTCCGAACGAAGAAGAGCGTCTACTTCGAGAGGCAAGGAACGAGGCAAGGCAGGAAAGAATCAAGCAAGCAAGACTTGCTTTTAGCAAGAAGTCCCGAGAAACTATCAGGAAAAAGCAAGAGATTGAAGAGCAACGACGTATGAGTGCACAGAATATGGTTGAGATGCAGGTGAGAGTTTGACGTTAAGATCTGTGTCTTAAGTGATTCCGACCTCTAGATGAGGGCAAAAATCGAAAGTACAATCTCTCGTGGTACCTCGCTCTTCTTTTGCGAACGTGTCGAATATTGAATCGTAATACACAGCGTCAAGAATGTCGGATGCTGCATCGGATTTTGGATCAGCGCACGTAGCAGCCCCAATGCTTGTTGCAGAGGTTCGTCGATCTTGAACCGCTGTGACTGAGTTGAGCTCAAGGCTTCGCGGAGTGCGTCTGAGAGGAGGATGGAAGACCTGGAGGCTCGACGTATCGAGCAACTTCGGCATCAATGTGCTCCCTCCATTGCTGCAATGCCATCGTTGTCTGAGCCCTTTTGCAGTGGCTGTGCTGGACCAGAAAAGAGAGCAGTCGCAATGCCCCCTTGCAATTCAATCGAGGAATGCAAAGAGGCTTGAACGGACAAGAACCATCGAGGCAGAGAGAGAGAGGATACGAGCACAAGCTGATCGTCGGTTACTCAGTTTCTCTCTTCTATCCTCCCGGAGAGTGACGTTGACCTTGGCAGATTTGAATCGAACAGTCTCATCCAGCAGGAGCAAGTGCAGTACACGGCTTGTACTACGATCACGCAGCGGGTCAAGGTCTCTGAATCACAACCACTTGGAAGTCAGCCCCGTCTTCTTGCATCGAAGAAACATAAACAGGATTACGGGCAGACAAGATTCCACGCAGTTCAGGTTTGCCCACCTTCTGCTGTCCTGATTTTGCTGATTATTGACTTGAACAACTCTACAATCGTTTCAGATTTTCCGCCATAATCACCAAAATGTTAAAGACAATGTTCCACACAGCCTCTTCGATGCTAATGGAGAAATTTGTATCGTGAATGCACACGTGATATTTTCATGCTTCAAGTTTCGAATGTTTCATCTGTTCACAGGAGGCAGCAAAGGCAATGAGCATGATCAATGCAAGCCAAGAAATGCAAAGAAGCATCAAATTTCACAATGATGACAAGAAAGCAAAGCAAAGGTTTCATCATCTCTCAGCTTTTTCTGGTTTGCTGACAGCTCGGTGCAGAGAAACAGAGGCGAAACGTTGGCTTGAAAAACGAAACACAGCAAATCGAGTTATGGAAGACCTTGTCAGGCTGTCGTCGAAGCAGGAGAAATATTACAAGTATGCTGAGAACTGTGCTCCATTGGCTGATGATTGATCTCTTTTAGAAAAAGCGATTCGCCTTGGGACGCATACCATTCCAAGGAGTCGAGGAGAATGTCTATCCAGAAATCGCAAAAGCAAAAAGAGCATGACCTGATCGATGCCCTTCTTGGCCCGTTAGATGAAGATGATGGAGCTGAGCACGACCCGGCTGAACAGGCTATTACGAGAGATGACCAGTGAGTTTTAGAGCGCATGTTGTCCTCTTGTTAAGATCAGTGCAGGACTTTGGATGCCCCACAGCCGTTGAACAGGGATTGTGACCTTGAAGACTCCTTCACCTTGCGGAGGAAGGAAATTTTGCGTCAGTACGAACAAGATGGGTACTTGAGTAATGGCAAAAAGGCAGAAAACGAGCGTTTGACCAAGAACGATGAGCTCCAACGTGACCGACAGATTGCAGATCTCGACGTGAAGAAGCCTGACGACCTTGATGTGCAGCCAAAAGCAACGAGCCACCAGGCTGTGATTGATTTGCAACACTTGCATCAAGCGCATAGCTCATCACTTGGTACAGCTTTATCTTCAGAAGACTCGCTTGATGAAGAAGAGGAAAGGCCGCTTGATGGAGGTGACCAAATAGCTGAAGAAGAGAAACAGGGAACATCGGATCATTCACGAAAGCAACATGAGTTCTTGTCTCAGATCGATCGCATCCTAACAATGCACGAAAGTCGTGGCACACAAGCTAAAGGCTGGACACAGCCGTTGACACAAGGAGGTCAAACAATCGACCTGGGAAGTTTTCCTGCACCTCGATACAGTGGCAGCGCACTTGTGCAGGCTGCAGACGACAAAAATGTGAAGGATGATTTAGAACCCGATGTCGATGCTGATGATGAAGAATGCACTGACGAGAACCAGCCATCGCTCACGGTTGTAGAGAAAGGATGGACTTCAGAAAGGGATGAACGAGGATCTGACCTCGCTTTTCAGCCTCCCCAACCAACCCATGCTGCCGAAAGCCACAGCCAACAGCAGTTGGCAGATGATGTGAAAGAAGATAGCGAACTGAGTACTGAGGCAATCGTTTCATCTACCTATGCTGAGCGGCGAATGGAAAGCAAATGGGCTGAGTCGGGCAAGGGCTCGACTCTCGTCAATCCGGATATGGAGGAAGCAAGTCCACAGCCCTTCCCTTCAAGGCTGACTGACATGAAGCTTTCGTTCGTCGCTTCCGGTGACGTGGCTAGAGCAAAAGACAGAAAGGAGATGGCGTCTCAGGTCGGAGGCCTCTCTGCAGCGAGTTCATCTGGGTATGAAGAGCAAAGAAACGACCTCGGACGGAACGCATTGCATGTAGAGATAGGGAGAGCTGGGGAGGAGCTTGCAGATGACAGTGATCTAGAGCTCTCGGACACACCTCCTTCATCTCCATCCCAGCAGTCATCATCCAGCTGGGGGCTCCCTCCCTTTCAAGTGCCGGAACTCTCGTCCTCCCCTAACTCATCGAGGACATCCAAGGAGATCGGCTCTTCTCGCGAAAGGCACCGCACGAGCGACGAGAAGTATCGTGAAGCACAATCCCGGGACAACTACTCCTCGGTCCTCAGCTCTCTCCGATCTCTCAGTGAAGTCCCTTCCATCGAAATGAGCCCCAGCAGCAGCGAATCCGATGGTGACGATGACGACGAGGGCAGGGATCGTGGCGTGTCAATGTCGAGGAGCGATGCAGAGGCTCAGGATCTTGACTCCATGACAGAGCTCCGCGTCTCAGATGAGCTCAGCTCTTCCCTGCTCCACCTGAGGCTCGAGGAGCAGGAGGCAGCTGGGGCTGCAGAGATGAAGAAATGGTAGGGCTTGCGAAAGCGTTGGACTCGCTGAACCTTGTCCAGGTCTCCGAGACATGCGCTGCAAGAGTCTCAAGACTCGCTGGAGGCTTCAGAACACGAGTCGGAGGACACCTTCAGCCTGTCAGATAGCGAGCCCAGCAAGTCCCCAGCACGGCGACTACAGGTGACGCGTGTTTGCATGGCATGCTGACCCGCTGACGGGCCGCCGACAGGAGCAGAGGGGCGATGATCCGCTGACGAGACGTGACGAGTGGGACGTAAGCGAGGGTCGAGGGCTGGTTGGTCGCTAAGAAATGAATGCAGGAGTCACTGCCGGAGATGAAGATGCTTAGACAGGCACAGCTGAAGCGACAGGTGAAGGAGGAGGAAGAGACTCTAGGCGTTGACTGGGTCCAGGCGATCGAGGAGCGACGTCGGAAGATTCAAGAGCAGGAGAGGCAGCGCCGGGACAGGCTCATCCGCTCTCGCACGGGACCAGCGCAGGCCAAGATGCTTCGTTGAATCCCGGCAAGAGAGTTGAGAGTGACCGAGCTGTAAAACCAGAAGGTGTCCATGTTGTCGTCAATGATATCTTGTAAACTTGCTAAGTCTAACTCTGCTTGCCTCCTCGCTCTCGCCCTTCCCCTCCTTCTCTGGTTATCGTCCGACGGCGATGGCGAGCTGCTTCCTAGCAACATGACGGTAGCAGCTGCTCACACTCTTCCTTCCATCCAGAAGCCTGGAGGTTGGCATTGCAGCACCTGCTTCGGCATCTCGCAGCATCTGCAGGAGGTCAGCTGCTGTCGCTTCTGCCCTGCTGCCACGTCCTCACATGCTCTTGTCGTCTCCCAGTTTGCGGGTCATCACCAGGTCGAGCTCACACCTCAGTCCTTGCTGGGATGCGTCAGGATGCGACATAACTCCGTCCCCCGGTCCCACCTGCCGTGCGCTGCTCCTGTCGAACGAGATAATCTTCTTGCCGAAGACGTTGCCGTCCTTGTCCAGCTGCAGCTCTTGCTCCACCTGCCCATCCCGACTGCTCCCCACCTTGTACGCCAGCACTCGCTCCCTCCTCCCTTGCTCGGAGCTCTCAAGTCTTCTCAGCTCCCCCTCGCAGGCTGCATCTACCTACTGTGACTCGGAAGCCCTCGGAGCAAGCGAAGGCATCTTCCTTGGTGCAGCGAGTCCTGCCCGTGACTAACAGGTCCACCCTATACAGCATTGCAGAAATTATACAGCATTCCTGCGCACTTTCTTTGCTTGTCGACAATTCCTTTTCATTTCTTTGTTGGTTCTGATACGCTTTCCTTCCTTCTTTCCACGTTGATCTCTTCGCTTCTTCCGTTTGGGGCACTGATCATATCTTCCTTTACCGCAGAAGGGTTGAGTTTTTATTCCAATCTCAATGATCATCAGCACTTTTCGTTTGACAGGCTCAAGCTCCAGATCAACCCCTGCTTGCTCTTGAACGCATTCTTCGTCTCTTTTCATCGTCTGATTATCATCAAATGCATCAATCTGAAATGAAAAGGATCTCCAGCCTTCACCTTTGAGATGCAATACAAGCCACTCAGTCTTGCATTGAATGCCAGTATTCTTGATGATTCCTTTCAGATTGCTCTCTGTCACATTGATTGATATCTCCAGAACCATGCACACATTAACATCCAGATCCTGCTTCAACAGTTTAGAGAGCACCTTTGACAACTGTTCAGGGGTAAGTGCAGAATTCCAATTCTTGTACTCCGCTCCTCCCATCAATGATTTCTTGCTTGCAGAGGTTGGTCCTGTAAAGGTACCGTCCCTTTTCTGTCTGTCCTGGTTGCAGATGTAGTAGCCCATGAACGGCGAAGCTGCGTCTCTCCGCTCACTCCATCGTACAGGAGCTAAGTTGGATACGCAGGATTTGAGGATTCGCATGAAGCATTTCTTGTTTCTGACAGAAGCAAGAATCTCACCTACACTTGGCTGGTCTTCTGGAAAGCCGCAGTGATAAGCGATATTCTTCAGAAGGTCCTCACAGGGAGACCAGCTGCTGATCATCAGGACAACTGCACCAAATGACTCTAACTCGTTCGCATCTCGCTTGTACGCATCCACATGGATGGGATTACTCCAAACTGCCTTCTGCTTGTGGATGCCCTGCAAGACCTGAAGCGCTGATCTTTGGCCGAAAGGCCGTCCTCCCCCAGCACAAACAGCCACGGTGATGGGATCTTGCACAGCAGGTGGGAAAGACGCGGTCAGTTCTGGAAGAGGAGTGTCATGGATTCTCAATTCCACCTCGTTTTCTAATCTAGTCATTTCAGGCATAGATTCTTTACTGCCCCGCCGTGGCAAATTGCTGTCCCACACATTTAGCTGAGCAAACCCCTTGGAGATGTGCAACTGAGAGACAGGTTCATGCGCAGAAATCTGAAACATGCAGTAGATAGATTCGTCCTTCAGGCTCCTTTTGTCGCGCTTTACCCTAAGCAGGACCGCTCTGGAGATGTTTCGAATCAAACTGGATGGATTTTTGATTTCGGGGAATCGCCTCAAATTAGTCAAGAAAAGCGAGCAGAGCCATGGGTTGACGTTGTCCAACAGTTGAGAGACCCGTGACTCTCCGAAAAACTTCTTCAACAGCTCTTCGTCCTTGCTCGACGGCAAGATGTACCTAGGTAGAGAGCGATGAGTTAAGCATACCATTGTTCGATCTTCATCGCGACTGTACTCGGAGCTCCTTGGAATCTTATCGATATTCATGACCAAAGTGTTCGTCCCCAACATAATGCAGTGAATGTTTGCGTTTGTCAACACCCTCTTGACGAGCACCAGCTTGGCGATCGCTGCGAAGTCCTGCTCAGGAGGAATGGTCTCATCCATCAGAACCCATCGCTGTTTCCAGTTCATCGCTTCCTTGACAGAGACAGGGGCAACGGTAGTCGTCTCCTTCCACAAGTAGCCAAGAGCTCCCAACAAATACCACTTCCTTTCACTTTCTTTCAAATCAAAATCTAATACTCCAAGAAGTTCAGTACTCAATGTAGGAGTTGTAGACCGAATCAACGAGATAAGGTCGCAGTTCATGGCCAAGCCCATCAAGTTTGTGATGCTTGACACGTTTTGGTACAAGTTCTGCTTGTTTTCTTTCTTCGAAGGGTTGAAGAGAAAATAAATACACTGGTCTGAATTTCGCACAAAGAAATCAGCAGCACACAACGACTTCCCACTGCCAGAACAAGCTTCAATCACGCACAAGTGAGTGGTAGCTGTTACGTCATTTGCATCCTGTACCAGTGTGTTGATTGGGTTCAATATGCTGAAAAGCCTGCTGGCTTCCCCCGCTGATGATTCCAAGCTTCTTTGCCGGTCAAGAAATCTGGCAAGGTATCGCCTCAAGGACGATATGACCTCATGCATGTCGACTTGGTTGGCAAGGTCTTGAATAGCTAGCAATCAACTGGTCAAAAGTAATCGGAACTAATACTCAGACTTACCCGTAAAGAAATTTTCTGTCCCGCTGTACATTCGATGTGTTTTGAGAGCATACAGGCTGAAGTCGAGTTGCCTCTGATAGCGATCAACGTCGTCCTTACTTGCTTCCTTCAGCTCTTTCTGCGCAATTGCTACCGATAATTCTAGACCTGCTTCCTGTAGCTTGTCGCGAGCCCTTGCGGCCTTGATCTCGTCGCCTGTGCTTTCAGCCTCCCGAAGCTCTGCCTCCGCGACTTGCTGACGAGCCCTTGCGGCCTTGATCTCGTCGCCTGTGCTTTCAGCCTCCCGAAGCTCTGCCTCCCTCGTACACAACGTCAAGCCTAGCTTTGCTTCCGCGACTCGCTGACGAGCCCTTGCGGCATTGATCTCGTCGCCTGTGCTTTCAGCCTCCCGAAGCTCTGCCTCCCTCGTACACAACGTCAAGCCTAGCTTTGCTTCCGCGACTCGCTGACGAAGCCCTTGCGGGCCTGATCTCGTCGTCTGTGCTTCCAGCCTCCCGAAGCTCTGCCTCCGCGACTCGCTGACGAGCCCTTGCGGCCTTGATCTCGTCGTCTGTGCTTTCAGCCTCCCGAAGCTCTGCCTCCGCGACTCGCTGACGAGCCCTTGCGGCCTTGATCTCGTCGCCTGTGCTTTCAGCCTCCCGAAGCTCTGCCTCCCTCGTACACAACGTCAAGCCTAGCTTTGCTTCCGCGACTCGCTGACGAGCCCTTGCGGCCTTGATCTCGTCGTCTGTGCTTTCAGCCTCCCGAAGCTCTGCCTCCGCGACTCGCTGACGAGCCCTTGCGGCCTTGATCTCGTCGCCTGTGCTTTCAGCCTCCCGAAGCTCTGCCTCCCTCGTACACAACGTCAAGCCTAGCTTTGCTTCCGCGACTCGCTGACGAGCCCTTGCGGCCTTGATCTCGTCGCCTGTGCTTTTAGCCTGACTTTGCTCCCTCATTGCGTATAAACGATTCAGATTATATTCGCTTTGCCTTGCCATAATATCAAACTTAAGAATGTCGCTCTGATTCTGCTGCATGATGGCATTCGTGAGTTGATCTCTGCACTTCTCGACAATCTCCTTTGCAACTTCAAGGGCTACGTCCCATGCGTTCAAATCATCCGTACCTCCGTTACCTCCTCCAATCCGCAGACACGAGTGCTGGCACACGGTTGTCTTCTTGCTATCAAGGCAGACGATATGCCGAGAAGTGAAGCACAGCCCCTGCAGTGACACCAAAGGATCAAGAATCACCCATCCAGTTTGGAGGTCGATCTTTACCTCTGTGCTCGAAATGATAACTGAGCCCAGCAAAAGTAAACGCAAACAAGTGACGAGCGACATGGCTCCCTGGACACAGTTTGATCCCTGTTGGCAACGTGACTCAGGTGAACAAATTGTGATGTCTCCTCATTCTAGTTAAACTGCTATTCTGGTTCAACTGCTATTTGCAGTAAGCGATCTCTCTTCTTCTATTTGCAGTAAGCAATCTCTCTTCTTCTATTTGCAGTAAGCAATCTCTCTTCTTCTATTTGCAGTAAGCGATCTCTCTTCTTCTATTTGCAGTAAGCAATCTCTCTTCTTCTATTTGCAGTAAGCAATCTCTCTTCTTCTATTTGCAGTAAGCAATCTCTCTTCTTCTATTTGCAGTAAGCGATCTCTCTTCTTCTATTTGCAGTAAGCAATCTCTCTTCTTCTATTTGCAGTAAGCAATCTCTCTTCTTCTATTTGCAGTAAGCAATCTCTCTTCTTCTATTTGCAGTAAGCAATCTCTCTTCTTCTATTTGCAGTAAGCAATCTCTCTTCTTCTATTTGCAGTAAGCAATCTCTCTTCTTCTATTTGCAGTAAGCAATCTCTCTTCTCTCTTCTGCTATTTGCAGTAAGCAATCTCTCTTCTGTCCATCCCAGTTCTCCTCTCTTTCGGCGCATACGACATAAGCGACATGGAGGAGGCATGCTTCAGAAAGAAGATAAAACAGTACAGCCCTTGTTCCCTAGATACCTGCTCATCATCTTCTTCGTTCTACTGATGAAGGACCATCCAGCTCTACCGGATCACCTTCACCACACAGGTAGTGCCGCACAAGCATCAGTGCAATAGTTTAATCAAAGCTAAGTTAAAATCAGTACCAGGACATGGGTAGTTACCAGATTTCTGATACCGGGTAGCATTGACTGGCAGCTTTTACTAACTTATAAAACCTAAAACTTTCTAATTCCAAAATACTTATAAAGCATGGTTGGCCCGCATCATTGGGCCACATCCCCAAATCGTCCATTAGTCCACATCCCCACTCATACCCGCGCTCTTCACGTGCCATGAAACGAACCGATGGAACAGGGAGAGAGGGAGGGAGGGAGGGAGGGAGGGAGGGAGGGAGGGAGGGAGGGAGGGAGGGAGGGTTACGCGTAGGACGGG